TAGGGGGACAATCTTGAGAGTTCATAGTAGTTCCTCCACTCTGATACTCATGAGAGGCCAAGTTAGCCGAGGTGAACCTTTTCTGATTTGGTTTCTTGTTCTGTTCTTGTGCTGATTTCTTATTTAGGTCTTGTGCCCACTTCGGCTTGCCATGCAATTCCCAGCATGTCTCCCATGTGTGTTGGGATTTCTGACAATGAGAGCACCACGGTTTATCCTTATCATCAACCCTTTTCTGACCATCCTCCCTTTTTTGCTGAATTGATATTACCTCTTGCGGCTAAGGCAATGGTCTCCCCCTCGGGAGGATTCATGGAAGATTTCCTACTTTCCTCGGATTGAACCAACGCATACACTTCTTGGACAGAGGGAAGATCCTTGCTGCCCAAAATTTGAACTCGAATGGGTTCATATATGGGATTAAGTCCCAACAGAAAAGCAAACACCCGCTGCTGTGACACTAACTGTTTGTAGGCTTTGGCATCATTTTCAATCTCCCAGTCAATCTTCTGATAGTAATCTAACTCTTTCCAGATAAATGTGAGGGCAGAATAGTAGGTGGATAAGCTTCTTTCCCCTTGTTTACACGTTGCGGACTCGACTTGCAATTGATAGATTCTAGCATAGTGCCTCTGTTCGGAGTAAGTTGACCTTGCTTGTTCCCATATTTCCTTGGCTGTTTCAGCCGACATAAAGTTCTGCTTCACTGATGGTAGCATAGTAGTCAAGAGCCATGACATAATCATGCAGTTTTCCTGGTCCCACTTATCATATTCAGCCGTACCAGTCCTAGGTCCTTTCACTTTTCCATTGATATACCATGCTTTACCCCGGGCTGTGATGTACAGCCGCATCTCCTTAGACCATGTCAAATAATTTCTGCCATCTAAGGGAGTAATGGTCGTTGGAAAGCTCATGGAGTCAATACTGTTGTTCATTCCTCCTTGGTTAAAAGAGGCTCCAGAGGTTGCTGAATCTTCAGAATTCATGACTGACGCTCACTAAGACAACAACAGTCCCTTCACTTCAGTCAATACACACAAATGTACTACACAGCCCTTACTTTAAGTTTTCTGACAGTTAGAACACAATCACAGCCCTTGCTGCAACACACTCTCACTGATCTAACAGGCCTCTCCAAGGCTAATATAAGCCACAAGCATCAGTACACGGTTGCTGTAACAGTCAACCAAACCAGGTCACTCATGACCTACAACTAATTCCACAAGTTCACAGGTTTCTGGATCATCCGACCCACAAAGAAAGGGTTAAACCTCCCTTATACCATTCGGTCAAGGCAACCCTCAACCTGTTCTTGGTACCAGCACCAAGAACCAAAGAAAAAAAGTTAAAAAAAAACCTGTCCAAGTTCAGTTCAGGTGGTTTCTGGATTTTTCAGTCCAAGAATAATAAAAGAGAATAGAAAAAAAAGCAGCCACCAACCTCTTGGAAGGACTCAACCAGTCATCAAGAATTTTCTGCAATCACTTCAGTTGATTTCCGCCCAGAACAGGAGAGGGAGATCCAGCCGATGAGTTCTCAGGTCCAGAATAATCTTCTGCAATCACTTCCGTTGAGTTTCTGCCCAGAACTGGAGAGGGGGATTCAGCCGATGAGTTCTCAGGTCCAGAGATGACTTCGTTTCGTCATTCTCAGTCAAGTGAACACAGAGGATGTCATCGACCAAAAAAATTTACAGAGCACCAACCTGCTCTGATACCATGATTTTGGCAAGAAGAAAGATCTCGATCAAGAGATGAGAGGAGAGAAGAAAGAGGCGAAATATTTAGACCAAAAAACGTAAACTGGCGGTGCCCAGGATTTGTATTTATAAGTTAGGCCGACTAAATAAAAAATAAAAGGTTAAAAAGACAAAAATGCCCCTGCGGCACATAACTGAAATTACATCGCATTCATTTGTAATTAGAATGCTATCCACAATTTGTCTTCCTTTCACAAAGCAAATTGATTTGGAGAGGTCAGTTCTCCCAAGACTAAGAACATTATTTTCTTGCTTAAAACCATTTTTAATAACAAAGGAAACAAGGAAGATCTGGTGCCATTTTTTAAACATTGTCGGCTACAACTGGGTGTTTCCTGAATGTATTTGAAGATTTTCTAAGGCAATGGTAAAGGAGGGGGTTAGGCCAAACCGTCAAAGGGGAAGAATCTACTAGAACATGGTGGCTCAAGTAGTATTGTGGGGCATTTGGGAAGAACAAAACAATCACATTTTTAATAACAAAGCTAGACTCATGGAAGAGGAATATTTCTCATATTTTTCACTTGTGCAATCTGTGGGTGCTGAATTCAGAGATGTACAAAGGTTCACTCCGAATATGCTTCAGCAGAATGTAGTGGAATGGTTGTTCTCTTCACCTAGTTCTTTAAGAGCTAATAGCCTTCCCCAGTTAAGAGAAGAGGAGGTGACTCCGTATTTTGATGGAAGTGCACTAGGGAACCCGGGATTAGCTGGAATTGGTGGTCTGTTCAAGAGGAAGGATGGTAGCCCCTTGTGGTTTTTTAGTGGACCAATTGGGATTGCAGATTCCACAATGGCTGAAATTTTAGTAGTGCTAAATGGCCTCTGTATCACAAGAAGTCTAGGCTTGACCAACATGGCAGTCAAGGGTGACTCTGGCAACACGGTAAAGTGGCTTGGGGAGAAGGAAGGTAGGCCTTGGAGATTGGTGAACTACTTGGATGAGGCTAAAGATTTGTTGTATTCCTTGAATGTAAATCTAATCTGGATCCCTGGGGCCTTAAACTCTGTAGCAGATAGTTTAGCTAAATCAAGTGCTCAAAGGGAAGCCTTTATAGTGATAGCATTATGCCCTTGTAACCTGTGTGAGGCTAGCGTTCTTTGTATGTAAAGAGACTGGGCCGAATGGGCCCTAACAACCTCTTATGTGATATCCTTTATTTTATGTTGATGGGCCTCACTTAATGGGCCTGTTATTTGTTCTTATTTTATTTTCTTTATGTAACTGCCAAGCTGGCCGCCCACTTAAGGGTATACTTGTCATCATCAATTTGTTTTAGAAATTAATAAAAATAGGGTTAGAGGAGAAGGAAGACTAATTCGACTTCTTCTCTTACCTCTTCTCTTCGACATACACAACTCTTGCACTATCATTCAGATCTGATTTGTACTGTTAATCACTGATTTTAAACCTGATATTAGAGGACTGATTCTCATCTTTGTACATCATCTCATGTACTCTTCTCTGTCTTTAATATAAAGCTACTCTTTTTCTAAAAATAAAAATTAAAAAATAAAAAACTAGCAGTATAGTATATTGTGTTAGTATCAAAATATTAGTTGTCTTGTACAATGAGATGTTGTATACATATAATCACATCAATGTTTTAAAATGCGGAGGCATGACGCAAGGTGTTCCACTACCTAGAAGCATGAGGTGTAAGTCTCCCGAACACAAGAAGGCATAAGCCTCCTTAAGAGGAGGAAGGGGGGATCTCATTTTTTCTTTGTTTTTAATAAAAAACTTATATATTAAGAAGAATAAAGATGCATAACATTAGTTGAAAGGGGGGGTCCCATCGAAGCGGAGGCAAGTGAGCGAAGCAAGACCCCCCTAACTCAAAAAAACAAATTGGGCTGCATCGAAAAGGGGAACCCTTGTTTGGGTAAGCTACCTGCCAAGCTATTAGCAGTCCTCACCCATTTCACTTGGATTAACATGTCCTGTGACAGCCATTTGAGTTTTCTGAATTCATTCCTCAAATGCCATGCCACCCCTTCCCCTTTAACCAGCCACGGAATCATAGTTTTAGAATCTCCCTCAATAATCAGCCTTCTAATACCCCGCCTTCTCAACCCCAAAAACTGCAGCCAAAAACTCTGATCTTGCCGCATCACCCTGCTCCACGGGGCCAGAGTATAAAGCAATTATGTTCTCCTCTTCATCCCTAATGACTCCTCCAATACCTAAGGGCCATGGGTTACCCAAACAGCTCCCATCAAAATTCAGTTTCTTCCAACCATTCATTGGAGGAGACTAAACCTCAACAGATCTTTGTCTTGTAGTTGAGGATGCAGCGATTGTACCCCAAGCTCTGAAGAAATCTTCAATCTTGAAATCTGAAAACAGCTTCAAACTTTTTGCCCAATGAGCTACCCTCAATGTTATAGTTTCAACCAAAGCTTCCTTGCTTCACTCCTTCTCTTCAAATATTCTTGCATTTCTTTCCCCCCACACAGTCCAAATTAACGCTGCTCTAGTGCATCTCCACAAGGTCCTACCCCTCTTTTTTGTACAGCCAATGCTAGTAGGGCTAAACAAACCCCCCAACCTATCAGGAGAAGACCACCTGCATCCAAAAGTAAACCAATCCCAAAGAAAGATAATAAACAGGCAAGAGATAAGAAGATGAATCGCAGTCTCACCATTCAACTTGCAAAGAACACACCAGTTTGGTCTCTTCCTTTGAAGTAAATCAAAGGTATTAATGCTTCAATGAAACACTTCCCACAGAAGGCGCTAATTTTAGGGGGAATGGGAGAACACCAGACTTAACTGGGAAAGAATAGGAAGAAGAGGTGGCAACCAGAGAACGAAAGGACTTGCAAGAGAAATCCCCCACAGAATTAGGACCCCGTATATTCTAGAATCGGAGCCACCTTTGCACAAGAAAACTGAATTCAACAAGCTCAAAAGATCAGTCTTCATCATCAAATAACCAATAATTGATGATTTATTAGAAGTGGTTGGACTTTCCAGGACTATCAATACTAAATTATTTAATTACGAACTACCAGGACAAAGTAACTTCCTAATGATACAAAGACAACACAACCTTGGGGTTGGGGGACCAAAAGTGCAATGAGTTTCATCATTCATGAACTGATGAAATGAGAAAAAGGAAAAGATCCCAATAAAAGAGCACAAAACCAGCTGATATATAGAATTATTGAAACAAAAAAGAAGCAATATAATTACACTAAAACATAAAATAGGGCCGTTAAATCAAAGCCATACCTTTTGTCCATGTGGAATCTTCTGAAGGGACCTTCCAACTAAAAGAAGCAAAGAAGGCATTCACATCTGCATTAGGAAATTCCTTCCGGATATACTGTTCAACTGAGTATCTGCTTGCAAAACGATATTTCCTACACAAAGTCATAGTTTTCCGAAGACTTCTTGGAGGATACAGGTACCTATCTATCCAGAAACCAGAAGAAGTTTTCCTCTTCCCCACCTTCCAAGTCCAGTTATCACCACGATTAGGCCAATCTACAGGAGCATACGGCAAACCCTCACCTGATTCACCTGCTTTAACTGGCCTGAGATGTAGCTCATTTTCCTTTGAACCAGCTGTGAAACCATTATCTTCACCAGGAATATCGAGCTCCATAGATTCTCTTTTACTGATAGTTGGCTGAGGCTGGTAAACTGTACCAAAGGGAACAATTGGTAATTGAGTGAAATAGTCATTCACTATATTGGTGCATCTTTATATGCAATGGAGAACAGAGAGATATTATTAGAAGTTCACTAAAAAGGAATTCAATCTCCCTAATAACATGAATATTTCATCTGGAAGATTGTTAGAAAATGATACACATAGATTGGCTGGTCTACACACACATGACAGAGAGATATTACTAGATTTTCGTTGAAACTAAATCTCCCTAATAACATGAACATATTATCTGGCATATTGTTTAGAAAATGAAAAGGTGACTTAGCTGGAAAACAAAATTAAGAACCATGAGAGCAAACACACAAAGAAAAAGAGTCTGGGTTCATCAGTTGGTGGTCATGTTCATAGCATATGGGTAGGGTCTCCAGTTTGTGAAATTCAACTTCTGAAAATATATACTTTTAAGCTTCTACCTTATCATGCTTTTAACTCAATCCTTCTAGGGGATATTATAAATATGCATACATGTCTAAATCACTAATATCAAGTAAGCAAGAGCTTTTATTGTGTCCTCTGGTGTATAAAATGCCTAGAGATAAGATGGATAAATACCTTGAGAGGGAAATGTAAGAATAACTAGTACAATCTAAACAGGGGATTAGTATAGGGCACTTGTTTTGGGGGATAGTGGGGTCTTGTTGATGTATCTATTCCAATCATGTCTATGGGTCAGGCTGGCTTCTGACCTGAACTTGCTTTGTAACCATAATTCTTTTCTATTCAATTCAATAAAGCTTTAAGTTACCAAGAAAGGATAAAAAAAGAAAAGAAAAACAAGTACAAGATAAAATCATGCTGATTATGAATTGAACTATTAGTTCATGGTGAACATGCACTACAGTCTCTCCCCTAGTGTTAGATAACAGAAAAGGTAGCGCCCATCATTTAAGACCTTATGGTAATAAGGGTCTGGAATCGAAATTGGAATGGTCCATTCCGGTTCCAACCGTTTGGTTGGGAAGAATTAGAATACCATTCCCATTCCTGGTGGAATGGCATTCCCCATTTGAGGGGATCATCATTCCCTCCCCCTCCCTTAGAAATGAGAATCCATTCCAGGATTTTGATTCCCATCTGGACCAAACAGGCGGGAGGAATAGACCATTCCCATTCTGATTCCATTCCAACTACAAACCAAATGGACCCTAATTTTTTTTTTATCATTGTAAGACTTTAATAAGATTACCCATTCAAGAAGATTCTAATGTTCAATACAGAATGTCATTCTAACATTAAAAACTGAGAGCAGAAAAATCATTCACAACTATGAAACATTACTTGCAAACCTTAGATTGATATTACCCACAGAACCAACATTATCTCTTGAAATATGATCAATAACAGAGATGGATAGATTATTTCACATTAGTTTCTGAACAACTTAAAGCAGAGTGGCTATGATAGTTTCAAAATAATTCTACAGGATAAGGGAAATGCACAGATCATATCCTCACATCTTCTAGCATCATCAATAATGCCGCAAGGTGGTGGTGTGTCTTTAAGCAAGAGGCACAAGATGCACTCAAAGGCATAAACCTCACAGGCATAATCACTAAGAAGTCTTCTTATTAATTGTTTCGATTAACATTGAAAATATATGAGGTCATATTATTATGTATTATCTTTTCTTTCAATATTCCTCTAGCATTTCTTCTGTTTCCACATCAGCAATGCAATTTGTATTGCACTTTCCAAGATTTTCTTGTTAGAAGGTAACCCTTTTATTTTTTTATTAATAACAGAAGATTCATTAATTGATTAAGAAAAATAAAACAAGAGAGGGAAACTAAAATAACTTAACTCCCCACAACTGTCAAAGTACACCCAAAATACAAGAGCAGTTACAACTGAGCCCAGAAAACAGAACTCCTATTCACCCCTTGCCTAGCTAAGCCATCTGCAAATGAATTTGCACTTCTCTTTACCCATGTGCATTGAATTTCAATGTCCTTGGTCAGCCATTTAAATTAAATTTCCTCTTTTCATTGTTGTAGTTCCAGCACCTAGAGTTGTGGGTAATTTATGAAAACAACACTTTTATGGAGAACCTGAAGTGGGTAATTTTTCACCTAGTACTTTTCATTCTTCATCTTCCACTGCCCCCCCCCCCTGATTCTATAACTTTGTTTTGAGTAGATAGCCAAAAAACCTGACAAAGGTCAGAAAGAGAGAAGATATCATGCATTCAGATAGGTTGAAAATTGAAGAGTCAAAGGACACACACTGAAAGGATCCCTTTGTATGAAAAGAAATGTTTACAACATAAAAAGGTTCAACAGGTGTTTTTATCAGCAACAAGACATTTTAGTAGTCATTGATTAAGGAATAGTAAATATGTACAATAATGTGCTTTATATAACCAGACTTTCTACCCAACCCCTGACAGCTATTTTTTTGCTTTTCTGTTTACAAACTTCTCTCTTGGGAAGACCCCCCCCCCAATAGAATTAATTCCTGCTTACTTCTTGTCTTACCAATATATCAGCCATACTGTTTCAAAAGCTGTTTCTAGGATTAACAGAGGCATCCTTAAGAACCAGTTTGCTACCACCACAATTATAACAAGTTACACACACACACATATATATGAGAGAGAGAGAGAGAAGCTGGCATGTGGCAAAGGGCATCAATCCAATTTTTCCATCATATTAAACAAAAAATAAGTGATAACTGACTAAAACTACAAAAAAAAATGAAAATGAGAATTAACTGGACATAAACCAACTTTTGTTATTGGGTCATAGATCTAGCAGTCCACCCATCTAGTTGAATCGTTTTTGAATTAAAAATAAAAAATTTAAGAAAAAAAATAAAATACAAAAAATAACAAATAACTTTTGATTATCTTTTAAAGTTTTTTTGTATAGAAATAAGCTCAAAACGATAAATTGTATATTATACGTTATAACATAGGCTTAATTTTTGTCATTGGATCATGGATCTAGCAGCCCAACCATCTAGTTGAATTGCTCAACTAACTGAATTAAAATTTTAAGAAAAAAAAATACAAAGCAACCTAATAATTGTTTTTTTTTTGATAATTAGCAACCTAAAAATTGTTTTGACTATTGATTCCATTTTTATGGTCCAAGTCCAACCATTGGTTATAGTCCTCGGTCATTTACCATTGTTGTGAGGTGAAAAGAAGTTATTTGGACAACAATGTTACAAAAAATGGCACTAAAACAAGGTTCACACCATAACTGGAAAGCATCGAAAGTATATTTAGGCTTTCCTGTTTTTCACCAAATTGTAGGCTGTCCATGTGGGTCACACCTCATAAAACCAGAAAACCAGAAGCTGCTGCGTGAAAGTCCGGCTGCTGAAACCATAATTTGACTTACAGGTCGGTTACCCGCCTTCAAGAATCATGGCAAATCGAGAGTGGTTTATATTCGAAAGAAAAAAAAAAAAAAAAGAAAAGAAAAAAACGAAGGCGGTGAATGCAGAAAAAATTGCACCGTAAAAAAGATAAGTGATGGCATAACGGTCATTTCGGGAAATCGAAGGATGTATGCACGATTTTCGCCAAGTTTAACAGATGGAGGGCATTAAAGTTCCAGCTGGCTCAGATGGTTTGTAGCGAAGACTGGATCGATTGCCGCCTTCACCCTGGTTGGGGTGAGAAAATTGGAAAAATGTTGAAATGTTGACATTTTTCAGGACTCAGGAGTTCATGAGGACGCGTTTATGTCGGGAATACTGTAGTGGGAATCTCGGAGAACATCCGACGGTTCAAGACGAAAGAGTACGTTCTCCTGTACCTCTCGAGGAGGGCGCTAACGCAGGACAAGGAAAATGATGGCGCACCCAACAGGAAGTTGGCATGCGCGCAAGCAATGTTTCAGAACAGTGATGTAAACTAAGGTGCGCCGGTGGCGATCTGGACAAACCTACGCCTAGTTTGCTGGTTGATTATCTGTTCTGCTTACGGCCATTCGGAGAGGAGAGGTACTTGTCTCCGGCCGGCATTTCCGCTTCGACGGTGACAAAAAGCTAGCTGGAGAACGAGTTACTCGTCGGGCGCATGTTATCAAAACATTCTCAAACAGAACTGTTTTCTTTTTTTTTCTTCCCTTTCTTTCTTTATTGATGTAAACAAAGAACTAAGCTTTGTTGAAGCTCCCGATTACCGAAGATCAAATGGATATATGAATTTTGTTTTGCAAAAGAAAACGAAAAAGAGGAAAGTTCATTCATCAAAATTTTCTTACTTGAGACAGAAATAGCGTCGTCCAGAGCCGAAGCGGAAGCGGAAGTTTTTTCACCTGGAGGAAAAATGGCTCCGTTTGTATCCTAACCGGATGAGAGGGAGAAAGTTCAGGATTTCTGTAAATCTCTGCTCAAGTCTGAAAACTCAAAAAAATAAATAAATAAATAAATCAGTGAAACAAACCAATATTCATTCTTCAGCACTTCATTTGTAAGAAAAATGAGAGAGAAAAAGAGTGGTAATGAAAGAAAGAAAACCTACTCGAGTGTACCCACGTGCACATCTAAGCGTGCATTGACACATTGTACTAGGAGATGCTCCGAATGCACGGATGAGGTGAATTATGGGGCGCGTTCTGTTGGACGGTAAATAATTGGACACAACCTTCTTCAAAATAACCATTCTACCCCATCCATGAAAATTCCACCTGGCGAGAGTAGCGGCTAGTAGCTACCAGCTTTCCGGTTTCTTTTCGGCTTTTCCGTCACAAACTTTCCACATTTCCAGTCCAGCCCGTTCAGAGACGGACTAGGCTTCGACCAGGTGCCTTAAAGAGGTTTAAAGTCCAGTAAAGCCCGAATATTATAGTCCTCTTAGATGATTAATGTAAATAATTGTCATGGTTCGATTGTTGGTTTCTTGTTTCACCGTATTCTGGTACTAACTCTTACGTCTCGCACCGCTGGAGTGCCAAGTGGCAAGTGCTATCAACTCCAATCCAATTATTTTTTGGTTAAGTGTTATTATATAAATTTATGTTAATTTTTATTTGTTTTATTATATTCTTAAATGTGACATTTAGACTAGAGTCTTAGGACATTTGTATGTGGACAAAGTTGAACCCTATGCATCTTAACAATATTCTTGCGTTACATATTGTTTAATAAATTAAAAAGAACCAAAAACTTAGAAGGGATTAAGAAGAGGGATTTACTTTTCATTAAGTTAGAATAAAAAATAGTTTTWATTAAATTATGTTTTTACTAATTTGCATCAATTTTAACTAATAAAATAGTTTTTTTCTAAGTTTATTAACATTTTTCTTTTTATTATGTTATTTTTTATTAATAATTTGAATTTGTTATAATCTTTATAAGGTAAAAGACTTAAACTTTCATTGAATTTTCACATAAATACTGAAACCTCCCCTCTCATTAGAAAATGGGCTAAAACCTCCCCTACTAGGTGATGTCGTTGGGCAAAGACCTACCCTGCATTAGTAATCTTTTAAGATTTGCTTACATTTGATGTTTTTTTTTTTTAAACCCCATTTTTGTCCTTTTTCAAAGTGAAGCAAGAAAAAATATATAAAAGACCATGCTGATGTCCTTATTTTTTAATATTTCTGTCTAATATGTTGGAATCGCTGCAAGATTTGATGATGCGAGATTCAATCTGAAGAATTTTGCAAAATTGGAATTTGGGTGTGCTACAAATGAATCTTGAGAAATTGTTTAAAACTCACCATAAGTTTTCGGTATCTCTCTTAAATTCACTATAACTTTTCAAAATGTCTAGAACTCATCATGTTAGTAAGTTTTTATTTTTTAAAACTCACCTTCCGTTAGTGCACCGTTAATGCTTTTTAACAAAGGTGTCAACGTCAGCATAAATAACAATTTTTATAACCAAATTACCCTTGAATGGCAAGTTAGAGGAAAAGGGTCATTTTCACTTTTCAATTTTCTTTTTGCATTTTTAGTGTTTTGTTATATTTTTCAATGTTTTTTATAATTTCTGTTTTTATATGTTTCTATTTTCTACAATCTATAATTTTTTTTGTTATTTATTTGCAATTTCTATGTTCTATAATTTTTAGTGTTTTTTCTACAATTTTTATTTTTTGAATTCGTTTTTCAATTTCTAAAGTTTCTAACAAGGTTCAAACTATTGACACGTATTGGCCTGTATCAACCGATACATATTGTTTCGGGAACTCCCCGATACGCCCCTACAGGGGGTGTATCGGGGTTCTGACTGGTTCAGCGGGTGGAGGAGCCTTAAACCGCCCCCCTTGAACCGGTTTAAAAAAAATAAAGCAAGTAAAAAAATACCGATATGGCCCGATACATCCCTACCGGTGTATCGGGCATATCAATATTTTGAACCTTGGTTTCTAGAGTTTGAAAATAATTTTTTATTTTGTTTGCAATTTCTATATTTTTTTATATTTTTGTAATTTTTGTGTTTTTATGTATTTTATATTTGAAAATATTTTTTGAATTTTTTCTTTTTTCATGTATAAATATTATATACATGTATATATTTTATATTTTTCTACAAAAGTTCTGTTTAACATTAAGTTAGTGACATGGTGAGTTTCAGACAAAACTTGTAAAGATCAACTTGCACAATCAAAGATTATAACTTATCAGATAAACAAATGAGATTCAAATTATAACGTTTCAGATCAGCTTATAAAGATCCGCTTGCACAATCATAGATTAGATTGTTAATGCCAAACCCGTCATCCACTTGCACAATTTGAGCTCAATGGTTTAAAGCCAATTGAGTCTACACGAGCACTAATTACTATTTTTTTTTATCTTCTCAAGGAAATGTAAGTGCTGAAAAAAGTACAACAAATGAATTCTTGATCTTGATATTCAGCATCTAAATTGTGATTATAATCTATAAAAACGAAAGCAGTTGCTTATTATATGAAAACCCTAAATCCCTCAAAATAACCAAGCGCTGCAAATCGAACAGTAAAGAATCACGAGCTATGAATCCTCCTACAAAACTATAAAATGATCCTTTCGACCCTTTTCGATTAGTCCCTCTCTAGAGCCCTTTAATATGTTAAAATTTTATATTATTTTCAGTGAAAATTTTCCTTTTTTACTCTTTTTTGTTTTCAAAATTGCATAATCAGGTCGAACCAATCAAACCATATCGGTGTAATTCAGAATGATGGTAATTGAAACTAGTGGGTGGACAGTTTTCGGGTATTCAAATTACCCAACCCTACTCCTTTTGTTTTAGAAATTGATGCATAGCAATTTTTAGGCCCTTGCTTTTCCGCTTTCTTCTTCTCTTGGGAAATTGACAAAGCTAAGGAAATGATCTAACAAAGTAATGGAACTATAAGACAAAGGAGACAATATGTTCACATAAATTGTTCTTAGAAAATTAGAAGTGAAACTTTTACATAATTTATAGGAAAAATTTTAGTCAATTTTTAATGGAAATTTTCTAAAAATATACCAGAAAATTATTTTATTGAAAATTTAATTAATATTTTAAGAAAAGCATATTAATTAATAGTGTTTCTAATATTAATTTCCAAGATATATTTTCTAGAAATTTATATAATAGATTTGGTAGAACAAACCGGATCAATCAAGATTTATATAAATTGGTAACTAAATAAATTGGGCGACCACTTTTGGGTTTTTGAATGATCCAATCCATTAGAGTCATGTTCTTAACCCATCTTCTTGTTACAATGTTTACTCAGCATGCACATAAGCATTTCAATGTAAATACAAAAAATACAAACAATGATATGTGGGCCCTAAAATGTCCCATGGGGGAGAGAGAGATTATAATTAAAATGTAATTTATAATTATAACAAGATTTTTAATTAATTAATAAATTTTATTACTTTTATTATTTGTCATATTGTATTATTTATTTTTTCTATTCTTTTTTAGATATTTTGAGTTGTATTATTTCAATATTTAAGTTTTGACTTAAACATTATATTTTAATGCATTGATGAAAAATTAAATTCATGCATATGGAGAGAGAAATAGAAATAGGAGGAGGGGAAAGAGGCATTAGAATAAGACAGTTTATTGGGAATGTGAGATATTTATTAGTATGAGAAATTTTAGGAGGGGAGATGGTTTGAGTGTGTGTGTGTGTGTGAGAGAGAGAGAGAGAGAGAAGGGGAGATGGATGGAGTGAGACTCTAGTGAAGGGGACATGGCTACATGGGAGGTCTGGGAAGGGTGAATGGAGAGAGAGAGAGAGAGAGAGAGAGAGAGAGTTAAGGAGGAAGAGGGAAAGGGAAAGGGGAAAAGGAGAAAGGAGAGGAAGGATGGCTTGGACAGCCTTGCTTCACATATCTAGTATAGATAGATCTGTTTTCTTACTTGAATGTACAATGCTACATAACTAGAAGATATACAATAAGATGGGATCACTAGGTGGCTAAACCAAACCCAATGTCTTCCCCATACCAAAATTACACTTATGCTAAATTTAGCTCAATTCATGATCACCTAGTGGCTGAAGCAGGCCCAATGCACTTATGCTTATTCATACAAATTCATTTCATGGAACTTTTTTCTATGTTTAACCTTAATTTGATAGATTATCTTTCTAATTTCTGAAGTATGTGATTGATTTATCTAAGAAAATTTGGAAAAATATCTAAACTACAATGGCCCCCCTTGTTATTAATATTTTATAAATAAATAACTCTTATAATTTATTAAACTTYAGAAAAATAGTTTATAGTTAATATTTTCCTAATTAATGTTTTTATAAAAAGTTTTGTATCATTAGATATTAGAATGTATTTTCCATTTAGATCCATGTAGATATTTACATGTTTGACATAACTTACAAAATCATATAGTTGCATCTATACTATATAAAGCCAATATTGGCCTTGATTTCTATGCAGGTCATATAGTTGCATCTATACTATATAAAGCCAAAGATCTCGATAGATGTCTTCATCCCAATAACCTCAAAAGTCCTATCCATCTAAGACATAGGCACTCAATTATAAATAGGTATTCCCTGCTCAAGTAAAGGACTTTTGGAACTATACTCTTTGAATACTTCTTTGCACTATCTCTTCAGTTCGGAACAACACTATTTCAACTTGTTAGTCTTAGCTACATCTTTCTTTACTCTACTGACTTGAGCGTCGGAATACCTATCCGAGGAATAATTCCTCGAACCTTTGACATTTCTCCTAATTACAGATCTCGATGTGTGGCTTTATCCTTCCACCTCGGCCTCATATAATTGGCATGACTATCTAACTATATCCTTGATTCGAAACACTTCGAATCGGACAGCATCACATGAACAAAAACCTAAAAGGGTAGGAAGACATTTAGGTTTTGAAAGATTTTCTTATTGCATGTCTCTAAGTGCCTTAACTCAGTGATTGGATTTAAAGAATAAACTATTTGGATAACTACCATTTGCAACTTGCAAGCATTGACATTATATGATGATGTTAAAGTATTGTGATTTAAACTTTAATGGCTTGGACATGCAACCAAGGCAAATATTGGCATTATAGAGTAAATAAGTAAAAGGCAAACTTATGCTTTATTTTCTCTAAATAGATGTTATAAAATGAAGAACAATAAAAGATACAGTCATTTCCTATATACGATTAATCTTTATATCCATAAAATCATAAAATAGAAATAGAAGTAATTTCTATTTCTCATTTTTCAAAACTCCAACATCATCCCATATTTGACATTTCATTATTTGGTTGGAGTTGCCAGACTGCTTTTGGTTCTTCATTCTAAAGGTTTCGTGTACTTCATTGTCTTTTTTCCAGGAAAACACACACAAACACAAACATCTACCTTTCATTAAAGATATAAAACCATTTACATGAATTCCATGACCAGGAATGTGAGGACATAGATCCATCTTTACTTGCCGAAAAAGCAAAATGATGAGCAATAAAATTGTCAATCCTATTGACATGTAAGATTTTATGTACATGAAAAACGAAATCATGCTTTTCACATTATCTGTAAGTATATTCCCTTGTCTTTAAACAACCCAAAGTTCGACTTAAGTGATGTTTAGCAACATTGTTAATTTCTCAGAAATTGTGTCCATGTCAAAGGCTCAAAGCCACATCAGCAATTCAAAAATCGCTGATGAATTTGCCGTTTGATTGGTCGATTTTTTAAAAATCGACAAATTGCTCAATGGTACCAAACAAACAATTTCTCTGATTTCTAAGAAATCAATTATCTCAGAAACCAACGATTTATGAAAAATCTCATTGGAGGAAATAGCAAAGATACCAAACATCACCTTTTTTTCATTTTTTTTTACTTATGTTTCTCATTTTGGCCACCATATTAGAGTTTTAGGGATTAAAAGAGTATTTTTTTAGCAGGTTATATAGTCCTATAATGGGAACAAACCCTTTTTATGTAAACCTTCATGCCTGAAATGTAGGTCATAAGTAACTCTTTTGGCCTCCATATTAGAGTTTTAGGGATTAAGAGTATTTTTTTAGCAGGTTATATAGTTCTATAATGGGAACAAACCCTTTTTATGTAAACCTTCATGCCTGAAATGTAGGTCATAAGTAACTCTTTTGGCCTCCATATTAGAGTTTTAGGGATTAAGAGTATTTTTTTAGCAGGTTATATAGTTCTATAATGGGAACAAACCCTTTTTATGTGAACCTTCATGCCTGAAATGTAGGTCATAAGTAACTCTTTACTACTAAGGCCTATTAGTATTGGATAGAAATGAGGCAAGTGCAAAATAAGTGCAAAATTTGTATCTAGCTCAGATTTGCATAGCAATCAAACAAAATCGGATTTGATCCTCACAAGACAATGCTCACACTGTTTGCACAGTCCCTTGTAGCCTTGCATTGGAAATAAGCTCCCCATGAAAATAAAGCATACAAGTACTGAGATGTTCCCAATGCACGGCTATAAAAGGCTGTGAGAACAATGTGAACAGTCTTGTGAGCACTGGACCCTATCTCCAACCAAACACAGACTGAGAGTTTTCTTGATAAAGGTCCATATAGAAATTGACAAATTTTACATCTTCAATATAAACCCTATATGACTTTTTGTTTTTCGAATTGCCTCTCTTGCTACAATGTGCTTAGTTTCTTTCTTGGTGAAATAGTGACTTATTTTGTCCTTTCAAGCGTGAACGAATATCTGCACACATATCCTTCCAATGTCTTCAGTCCTGTATTCTGGTGATGGAATCCTTAAGAAATAGAGAAAACTCCATCCTCCGTCTTGCCCACGTCTTCATCGACTTTTATCTGTAATTACTTAATGGGAATTCCATTTGGAATCTTACCCATCAATATCAATGAAACTCAGTAGACCCCTTTGTTAGAATCTTCTAAAAAGAGGCACAAAAATATCCAAAATATCCATGCAATTACTATTGAGGATGATTTCTACAGAAAAAAACAATACAAATTTTATAAACAAGAAAAAGATAGAGAATTTAAAGTTACAGTTTTGCCTTTAAGTGATTGATATGAAGGGCAAATTTGAAAAATAAATCGACTTCATAAAATAGATTGGAAGGATGGGTTTGGGCTAGCAATTCATATGAAGAGAGAAATTGGAAAATAAACATTTTGGTCCAAAATAATTTCATAAGCATTTTGGACATTTCCATGCCTCTTTTTAGAAGATTATAACAAAGGGGATCCACATGCAACTATGTCAGAAACTTCGGGGGAGGTGATTGCAATCGTCAAACTTCAGAGGAGGTTTCAGCAACAACCAGAAACTTTAGGGGAGGTTTTAGCAAGTTACCCTTTTTWAAATATGCTCACCACCAAAAATATAAAATTGTGCATAAACAAGATTTTCAAGGATTGGATTTTGGGACAAAAAATGGGGGTACGATGGTAGTGCAATTTTTTCATTTCCTCCTTTTTTTGACTTTTTCCCTTTTTTAACTCAAAATAACATATTGCAAAAAAAA